TGGTAATCGTGAGCTATGCATGCGTAGAAAGAAAGTCTGACTCTATCGAAGTGTAATTACATAAAGATACAGGCAAAAAAGGGCGTGAATTGAAGGAGGTGTATTTACCTTGTTGACGGTTAATCTCTGAATTCTTCACAACGGAAGGGTTGAGACTGATGCCTGCATTTGGTTTCACTTTATTCCCGTGTTCCACAAACAAGCTATTACCAACTGAAGCAACACCGTCGTGAACTATCTGGAAATGTTTCGTACTGGAGCTTCCCATACAAAATCCGTGTTTAGGTGTCGGAAATGACACTACGGTTCTCCTTGCATATGAGACAGTGGCTCGTCCCGTTATCCCTGCAACATATCTGTTGTAGACCAGAGTTCTACCGCCTATTCCTGGAAGCAATTGATGGTCAACATGTGTAGGCGGCACCGAATCTGGTTGTCAGACCGAACGAAACTCCAGATCCAGTTGAAGCTGTCGAGAAGATCAGGTACGGTTTCTCTCTCTCGTGTTGTCTGTCGACTGGCGTGGTTGACTCGTGGGTGCTTTCTCGTAGTATCGAATGTGTTGTGATGGCTGGCGCGGGGGGTGTACCAAAGAGGAGCGCCGAGGACGTCACTCAAAAGAAGAGAGGGGCAGCGTAATACTTTGGTTATGTGACCACATGACGTTTGGCGGTCACTTTAGAGTTTGTCTGGCCCCTGTACACAGGAGCTGGCCTTCAGGCCACGATCAGGCCCCGTTAGCCCTGTCGTCTTCGGAATACATGTGTTCAACCTCACTTATGCCTTCTTCCATCCTACGAGAAGCTTCGGGACACTACAATATGATGCTATGAAAGCTACTCTAATAGCTTGTTCATTTAATCGCCTATATGATCAGCTATTAATTTGCTTATTGTTTTTGTTCTTGCGCGAGTGGAATGGTATTCGGGCCATAACTAAGCTCAGAATCTTCTACCACTTTATCATATGAATTTTGCTCAAATTAATGCCTTAACCTACCTTGTTGGAAGCCTATGGAAGCTATACCAATAAGCACCACTTTCTAAGCAGTGACAGCAGCATGTGCAAACCCTGCTCTTTCCTAATTTACATCTATATATAATTAGCTGCTTTAATATAATGGCCGCACAATACACAAAAATAAAGAACAGCCTAGATAACATTAAAAATTGCACCATAAAGCAGGTGTAAAATAAATTTTGACGTCTTATTTATTGGCCAACCCTAATTGGTTTGTTTTAAGTGTTATAGTGATTATGTAAGTCTTATAAAAACCTCGATAACTGAACGCTTAACGTCATTTTATGTCCCTTAACGATATTAGACTTTCATTGCCTCATGAGTTGCGCCAAACACGTTTTAACTTTGGCGACAATTAATCCAAATGTAGTTCATATGCAATATGCTGTTCGTGGACCCATTGTCACCCGCTCTTTGGAATTAGAAAAAGAGTTGCAATCAGGAGAAAAGAAGAACTTTCAACAAGTTGTGAAGTGCAACATCGGTGATTGTCATGCAACGGGTCAAAAACCCATTACGTTTTTTCGCCAAGTTATTGCTCTTTGCAGCTATCCTCCTCTACTAGACGACTCAAAGTTTCCTGAAGACGCAAAAAACCGTGCTCGTAGTATCTTAGCCGGATGTGCCGGAGGAAGTGTCGGTAAGATTTTTAAAGCTGGAAAGTGAGCATCTCTTTGAGTAACTTTTAAATCATTTATATTATATGTCTATTTCAGGCTCCTACAGTATCTCAACCGGAGTGGTTTCTATTCGTGAACGAATTTCAGAATATATCAAGCGTCGAGATGGCATTCCCACTAACCATACAAATATATTTCTTTCAAACGGGGCTAGTGAGGCTATTAAAGTTTGTTTGTTTTAGCATTTTAGTTTTTACTTTTTAATTTAACAAAACGACAAATTGTGTGCTCTTCTGTAGGCTGTTTTACTTCTCCTCTCTTCTTCACAATCTGGATCGAATCGAGTTGGTGTAATGATTCCGACCCCGCAGTATCCGCTGTACTCGGCCACCCTTTCAGAGTATAATGTTTACCAAATAAATTACTATTTGGATGAAGATAATAACTGGGATTTGGACATAGCTGATATGGAAAGGGCTCTGGCCGAATCAAAGGAAAATTGCAAACCTCGTGCGCTAGTTGTTATTAACCCCGGCAACCCCACTGGACAGGTTCTCTCACGGAAGAGCATGGAGGTGGGACAAAAACTTAAATGCACCGCCTTTCTTTCAATACTCGTTGTGCGATTTACTTCACTGGATACTTAGCTTTAGGTATGAAGTCTTATCAAATAGACTTCAGATCTGTCAATTTTATTCACGTTTATCTCCAAACTTTGCTTTTACTGAAATTTTAAAGTCAGAACAGAATAGCAATGGTCTCTCCTTGTTCACTGTGCTCTTCTAGATGGGACTTACGAATTTATGCACCGATATCAAGGTGATAGGGAGTAGCACTTAATTGAATCCTTGAGCAAACACTTCATTAGTCAATATATTTTACATCGTCAACTTACTCATCATTGATTCCCCATCCATTGTTGAGTTGCCAACCCATTCCTGGAGATATCCTCCGTCTGTTCATCTAAGCTCATCTGTTTCACATCGTGACTCTATTACTCACTTATCTTCTGTAAGGAATAAACTGCTCAATTGAAGTGATCCAAAGTTTGCAGTATCTGATTTTCTAAGTTTTAAGGTTTTTGACAACATTGTGCTAACATTTTCTTAGTTTCCTTATGCATCTCAGCACAATGCTTAAAGCGGAAACAAAAGTGCATTTGTGAAATAATTGAACGTCAGTCTGGTTTTTGGAATTTCCATTAGGGTTATGATCAAGGATGCGTTAAATGCGTGTAAGGTGAGGGACGTGTCTAAACCTAGGCCAAATAAGGGTGGTAACATTATGCAGTAGAAGGAGAAAGTGTTCCACTCATCCACACAGCTATCTTCAGCTTCATTTCTAAATAGGCTTATCTTCCCCGGCAAACGTGCTCCTCTCCACCTGCCAGTCATTTATTTATCAATCTCACCGGCAGTATTTCAAATCAGTCACGCTTGCTGATCAAATATAGATCCAACCAAATGAATTCGTCAGCGGTCCAAAGTCTTTTTCAATGGATCACTATTTCGCTTTCACTTAAAATTGACAGGTGGTTGTCTTTTTTTTCGTCAGGACATCATTCGTTTTGTGAAACGTCACGGTCTCGTTCTTTTGGCTGATGAGGTCTATCAGTTCAACGTTTACCATCCTGAAATTACACCTTGGACGTCCTTCAAGAGGGTTCTCCATGATATGGGTCCCGATTATGCGGATAGCGTTGAACTCGCCTCCTTCATGTCTGCCAGCAAGGGCTACATGGGTGAATGTGGTTTCCGTGGCGGTTACTGTGAGTTAACCAACTTTGATCCCGACGTCCAAGCCCAACTCTTTAAGTACCTCTCTGCTCGACTCTGTCCTGCTGTTTTGGGTCAGGTGGGTTGACTCTATGCTTTATGCGCCGTGTAATCACATGAGCGTTTTATTTCTCCCTCATTATCGTAGCTTGTAAAGAGCTCTATCATATCACGCGCTTCGCTAGTTATCCACTTACCCCTAGCTCGTGATTGCTATAGCCTCTCACATCGGGCACACCTGGCATTGATTGTGTTGCTTGGATCTTACCCTCATTTTCCCCCACAACTTTGTTCTAGCAGCTTTGAGCATCTTGTTGTTTGCATTAATAATTATCTTTCATCTTTTTAGCCTAGCCCAACAGTTTACTCGAAAGAATGTTCGACACTTTGGTGCCTTTGAGCCAAAATTAGCCTCTAAAGTACTACTAGTTGATTTGTTTTCTTGATAAAGCTCTTGGTTCACTCTATTCCACAAGCGCCCATTCTCGTGTCACTCTAGCAGTTAATCTACGTTTTGTCAAGGCTTACCATTAACTCAACAATGTCATACTTTTTTGTAATATCGCTCTGGAAGTGGTGGAACACACATATTATTAACCTTCGCTAAGTAGGTATGCAACTCTTTTGGCCCTAACTTATTCATTCGTGCTACATAGTTGTGTAAAATGGTTTGAAGTTAGTCACTGAATCCCTCTGTCAAAGCCGTCACGCATAAGTTTGCCCTCGATGTGGATACATGACCACCTGAATTTGGGCTAACAGACGAAGAAGCGAAAGAATGGATAAATGGCCCAGGACTGCGAGATGAATGGTTGGGCGATTAATGACCATGGCGGTCATCTGTGCAAACCACCACCTCTACTCTCACTCATGAACTTGTGACTGTGATTAAAAGTTGTGCCAAATTGCCATCATTCAATTAAGTCAGTTCAATCACGTTTTTGGCCCACCCTCCAAAAATTGGATTATGCCGCAAAAATAACCCGTGATTTTACAGCACATCTCTTTGGTCCACAACTAGCGGTAGGTGGTATTCTACCTGCACCGTCATCACTAACGCGATAGCAGAAAACGTCTCCCAATCCATGACAAATGGGTGGGTAGGTAGATCGGAAGTTGGATCAAAGGTGAGTAAATGGATGGATGAATGAATGAGTGAAGTCATAGGTTCGGATTAATCCAAATGGTATTGTGAAAGGGCGATTAACGCTAGAGGGATGTTGAGACTGAAATATGTGGTTGAATGACTCACCATCCATACTTTGATAGTGTGGCGAGTGCCTATGTTATGCAGAGAGGACTTCTCCTCAATTGTTCTTGCCGAAATCAACACTTCTTCAGTACTAACGCAACCCAATCTCGTTTATGTGCCAGCAGTTAACTTGAGTCTGAACTTTAATAACTCATTTCTGCCCCCTAAAGGTTATGATAGGGTTGATCTGTGATCCACCAAGACCAAGCGAACCCTCCTACGATCTCTACATCTGCCAGCGGGACTCTGTGTTGGCTGATTTGAAGGAGAAAGCTCAACTCACTACAGGTACTCTGAATGGTCTAGAGGGTGTCACATGCAACGCCGTACAAGGGGCTATGTACGCTTTTCCTCAAATCCGACTGCCTTCGAAGGCTGTTGCTGTCGCAAAGGTACGTACTTTTATGATATGCTATCAGTTATTGTCAAACTGCACCCCACCCATCCACCTATCATTTTGCTCCGCTATTTGCTCGTCAATTTATCCATCTTTTAACAACTTGTTCATACATCCACTGCTTTACTCACTCGTCTGATCATTAACTTAACTGTCAGGTAATTTTAATAATCCACTTTTCTTTTCTTCGGCGCACTCACTTACTCATCCTTCCAATCTGCTTGCCTCTCTTTCCCCTATCCTTCGGTTTCTTCGTGTTTTACACTACGAAATATGTGCACTAGTAACCGTTGTCAATTTTATGGGGGTGGCTAAAAGGCGTGACGTAAGAAGGTGCGCCCCTCCCTTGATAGACTCTTCTACCTTTGGGAAAGTATCCTGAAAATGTCTAGCATTTTCTCCTCACCACTTGATCTTTAGGTTTCGTGAAACAAGCTACTACCTCAGGTTTGACTTCTTGAGTCTGATATATTCTCGTTTGTTGTGTTTCAGGAAAAGGGTATGGAGCCAGATTTCTTTTACTGTCTCTCTCTGTTGGAAGAAAAGGGCATCTGCTTCGTTCCTGGCTCCGGATTCGGTCAAAAACCGGGCACCTATCATTTTCGGTGGGTTATCCTTCTCTTCTCACTGCATCTAACGTACTGCTTCTTGGTGGTTTGGAGTGCGATCTCACTTGGCGTTTTACTTTTTTGCTCGATAGGTCTAAACTCCAATGCGTCCACGATAGTGAGTTATTACCCAAATAAAGCGCTGGTCCCAGTGCTGTGGGTATTTCATTGTCTTAGTAACGCCTTTGCCACTAAACGGGTGGAGTTGCATTGAGCGCCATGTTCATGAGCAAGTCCCTTAGACATAAGTCAGGAAACGACATCACCACATCAAGAGGTTTCATGCATCCTTCAGCGGATTCATAGTCAAGGCTCATCTCTTCCAGTGAGTTAGTTAAATGGATATGGCGAGTGATGCGATCCAAAGTGCACCAAGCGATCCGAGCGTTCACAATATGAGAGGCTGAATTCGATCACCTTTTTTTGGCAACAATCAGAACGTTAGAAGATGTTTGCTGCATCCTGCTCAATCAAGCTTTTCTTGTTTACTATTCAAGCCAACTAGTCCTTTTCATTCCACTATTAATTACCTGTGAGACATTTCTTTCGGGTCTAGACAATAAATCTAATGCATTCACCGACTGTAAGCTTGACTATTTCGCCTCTTTGTTCCCCATCTCTTCAAAAGTCCCTTCGCTCCGTCATCTGCCTAGTCAACTAATTTATGGGGCTTAAAAACCACTTCCTTTCAGTCATAGTGACTCGGTTTACCTTGCGATGCTGCGAGGTTCGAAGTCGATTGGCGGTTTGTTTTAATGCGCCATAGAATTGTTTCATTTTGGTTCCCTCTAGGGTGCGTGAACGTTGAAGTGGTACCCGCCCACCTAAAACGATTACGACTCTTTTCAGAGCCACTGAGACCATCCCTTTGGGCCAAGGGTAGGACTTTTAAATGGGAAGCTAGTTTACATTTGAAAATTGAAAGTGGTTTGTCTACCGCCCACCTTAAAGGTTTTTACGTCATCTTCATAATTGTCACAAACTAGACTAGTTCTAACGAAATTAGGGAGGCCTGTGTCCGCTTTTGAATGCTAATGCGGTCACCCTTTGGAGTCGCCCTTCACCCTACTACCTCAGACAGTCGAGAGGACGTCTACACTACGACAGTACTTGTCGTGTCCTGCTGAAAAAGTGTACACTGTCCGAAGTCGGCGACTGGTCCACGCAAAGCGCATACTTAGCTAAAATTGAAATGCTTCAGTAAAAAATGAGTAGCCAATGAGAGCTGCACTTTGGTTTTTTTGCCCCTCCTTTCCGGTTCTCTGTCAGTTTAATCAAAACCAATCTCCCTGTTTCACCCATTTTCAGTGTTGTTTATTGTTGTTGCAAGCAATGAGTGTTTGAACTTGTCACCCAGTGGAGAAGGGAATTGTGAGCGATCCGTTCAGCCTTAAAAGCCCCTCCTTTTCCAATTTGCTGAACCAGCTTGTAGAAACGAGATAAAGCCTAAAATTCTCATTACACATCCTCTACTATCACACCACTGAGTAGAAGGGAGACGGGTAGGGTGGCTGCAGACAACAAAGCCAACAGACTCCTCATTGCTTGTCCTTGGTATCACTGTTTAACTTCACCCAACTGTATCAACGCCCATTGTCCTGTCGTCCACCTGTAAGCCCCACTTATCCTCATGACGGAGGCTGGGAGGTGCGTTGAAAGCCCAAACGTTGAGTTGATTTCTTTCAAAAAGTTCAGATGCAGAGGCAACTTTGCTATAGCGACAAGTATGCTGTGCTTTTTACCGTTCCATTGTAATTACCGTTTGCAGTAATGCTGCGCCTGAAGTGCCAAACATTTCAGTTTCCTATTATTTGTCCAAAATCTCATTCAGTCCAAAAGCTGTATTACTTGAAGTCCAACGCGTTAAATGCAAACGAGCTGAGTATTTTTGAACCACCCACCTGTGAAAGGGTGGGGTTGGGCCACTGCGTCAGGAACGAGAATGCAGTCGCTTACTCATCAGCAGTCCCTTTAACTTTAAAGCAATCTGAGAGGTCAACCCTTTAGAACTTGCCTCATGACAGGGCAAGAGGAATGAAGTTAGGATCTTCCCAACACAATACCAGTTGCACCTCTTCGGCTATCTTGTCCTCCACCCTCAACTGAACTGCCTCGAGGACGACCAGTCCTAATTGTGGATGATCGGGATCAAATTCTGTTCAGCACTGAAGTTAAGTGGATGAACTTGATGGACTAACGGTGCAATGTCAGTAACCCGATCTGTAAAGTTACTTCAAAAGAGCAACTTGCTAGCTGGATGGCGCTTACCTGGAATCGTGAAGACATGTTTAATATCTCTGCAATCTACTTGAGATAACATTCTGTTAAACCAATCTTCACGACATTCAAGTGGACATCAAAGAAGGTGGTCTTGACTAAAATACAGACAATGGTTCGCGGTGTAGGTCGAGCTTTCCTCGGATTTCAGCCTTGTTTTTGCTTCCTCTGAGGAATGAGAGTCGGGTCCTGGATTAAGTTGGGTCTTCACTATCTGCATGTCTCCTTTGCATATTACAAGTTCTAGAAACGCTAGAGAGGTGTCATTGTAAATTGTTCCCTTGCCTGAACGGTGCTAAAAATTGCGAAATTTTCCTTCAAAGTGGAACCTACTTATACTTATATTTCATCAGTAGCATGGAAGAACTGAATTTGCTACTTATTAAACTCCTAGTTCCGAGTTAGTTTCCGTTGAAGGCTTCGGCTCATCTGTTTGTTTACGCACTATTTATTTCGGAAAGCTTGGACACAGTCGCAGGTGGTTCAGTTTTTCCCCTCGGCCTCTTTCGTGAGCAACCAGTCTATGGTCGTTTGGTGTTTCGACTAACATTGCAGTTTGGATTGGTCACACGCCCACGCACAGGGATACGGCACAGCCCCACACAAAAGGCTGTCTGTCTGTCTGCAAATGTGTTTGTGGGCAATCGTGTCACAATGCGTTTGTCAATCTCCTGTCATTCCATCAGCCAGGTGTGTTAAACCGTCGTTTTACTGTCAATGTAATAAAACACAATCCCTGCATGACTTAACTCTAACCTGAGTCACTGGGACAATATTTTGGGGACCGAATACTCAATTAAAATGATCGCTCATGACCTGTGGTGGCCCTTCTGACTTCGGCCCGAAATGGTAAGTGGGGTGTTGGATTCATTCACACTTTTACATCTCGTAGGCACGCCCACATTTGGAGTAGAGAGTGCCTGGCGAAAGCTAGGGCATGGATAAGGGGAGGTGTGAACTGCTCCTCCCTCCCCCTTCTCACAGACTGCTGGGATGCGGAACTGCCTAGCATAATATATTTTATTTCAGCTATTTTCACTACCATCTGGATTCATTGCTAGGCATAAACATCGCCTTTTATGAAAGCATTCTCCGCTCTGCAATCGACGATGCTTATCGCATGTCTTGACACACCCTTCATGGCTGTTAATTTAGCAAAAAATAGGATCTTAGTTATGTTTGCAGCCTTCAAAGGCCATGCTTTTAGCTGCCATGGTAACGGGTCAGACAGGCAAACACTGACTGCGATGGCCTTTTTTTCTGAGATGTTTACAACTTTACAAGACTTATTTCGAGCCTGGAATGTCGGTTGAGGCAATTGCTTGCCCAGAGTCACTGGAAGGCTTCATAACAAGTTGGAAGGTTTTTGCATTCGTCCGAACTATCGCTGAGACGATGCCAACGCCCCTATTCAATCGCTGATTTGATTGGTCAATTCTCTGGTGTTCTGACGGCAACCGGGCAAACCACCCTAACAACTGCTTTTATTCCCGAGTCGAGGGCGTCTGAAACCTTCGGATGCCTTTCTTTTCAACTCCTCTCTACGCCTTTTTAGTACGACGATCCTACCTTCGATTCCGGTGATGCGTCGGGTGATGGCTGATCTGGAAGACTTCCATAAGGCCTTCCTAGCCAAGTACTCCATCTAATTACCTTCGTCATCTTCACCTCTGGACCACTCCTTCTTCAAACCGCTTTCTCCACTTCTTCTCCTCCCCTTCCTTCTGTCTGCCTCCTATCACGTGTCACTTTGTAACATTCCAGATAACTTTCAGAAAGACACTGACGAACACAAACGAACGCGACTTTCTTCCATGATTGTTGCTCTTCGATTTTAGACTGTTTGAATGTCATCAAACGTAATCATTAAGGTTAGCAATGGCCGTGTAATCACCGGCCCCCTCTTCCACTTCATCAGTTTAGTGGGGATAGTTTTAACCATGGAAGAAATTCAAGACACAAAGGTCTTCAGTTTACCTTTTCATCATTTTAAGAGTTCATCGGATTATGAGTTCTTCTGAGGTGGAAAGTGAGGCGACTTTGTAGTCGAAGGCAATTATTTAAGCCCGTATCGAAGGCGGAAGAGGTAGAGAAGGATTTTTGTGGTCCGATTTCCCTGTGTTTGATACAGGTAGGTGAGGCAAAGATTTGCCTTTCCACCATCACCCCAGGCACTGAGGTGGGCACTGCTGACGTTGCTGTACACAATCTCCCAGAGGTGGAGACGATTTTGATTCTCTGTTGACACCACTTTTGGTGTCTTGTGGACGAAGGCAACTACAAAGTCGGCACGTATTGGAATCTCGGGGGAGATGGCGGTAACTGTTGCCTCTATTTCGTGTTCTCGCCAATGCTTCGACTGGATCAACGGTCGAAACCGCATTCACCTGTATTTGGTAAGCAAGTGGCACCACTTGTTTGTCTTCGCCGCCTCTGTAACATTCTTTTCTGTTTACATCCTCAATCATCACTTCCGAGTTTTTAAAGCTCCACCTTTATGTGTGAGATAACAATTTCTTCGATCCACGCCTCAAATTTCAGCAATTTTCTAAAGTCTCGACTCTTGATTAATTTGTCACCTCCTTGCACCTCACTACAATAGTCGACTCATCACTTTCTTGACAAACTTCACTTCTGTGACCTTGACTCTAGTTATTGTTTTTTTACGGATATGTCGGCATTGTTGACGCATCTAAAGGACGCTCTGCCAGTCTAAGCAGTCACTGCTCTTATAATGCAAAAATAGTTAAAAAGGAGATGTTTTTTAAACGTTCACGGACAAATCGGTTTGACAGTCTTTTAACCTAACTAACAGAGGTACACGGTAGGATAGACATCCGGTCATTTCAAGGTCATGTTAGGGCAACTAAGTGAATCCATCATCAAGCCAAGTTTCGTGTGTAAAAATGAGGGTCTGCCTTTGAGACGTGATGCCTTTTCCGATGAAGCTGTGTGAATCATATCTTGAAGAGGCTGCTTAGAGCACCTACCTTGGCCTTAGCGTCTCCATTGCCTGGTAAATAGCTTCCAATGTAGGCCATACAATTTCTGACTTAAATATAATGTTATTAAGCAAATAACCTGCTCGACAGATATTGCTGTCCGCTTGTCCGTGGTCTGAAGCTCCCAGCTACGGGTGCAAAATCAATAGGTGACATTTAAGTAACAAATGTCTTGACTTTCGTCCTCGGTCTTGACGGATAGGTAATTTGAGCCTTGGGAATGAAATTAGCTCTGAATTGGTCCAAACTTATAAACGCTTGCAATGTCATTGGTCACCACGTTGGGAGGCAAACGGTGGTACCATAAAGTGGACCAATAAACCACGGGGGGCCACATCTGTCTCTGACACTGACTGGTCAATTGGTCTAGCGCCTTTATGAAACAATTGTCTGTTTTTACCTTAATAATGATGATACATACGTGCTAAAAATAGTAGAAGTGTCTTAAAAAATACAAGCAAACAACTCTCCTAAAGCAATTGTCCCTGCTCTGCTTGCAGACTGCCTCATTGACATTTACATTCTTTCCTTTTTGATTGGCTGATGATGTGGTAGCCAATCACACAAAAGCAGGCAGTTAATTGGTTACCTGTTCTCCTACATCGAAGTCCAACTCCTTGGATCGCGTTAATGTTATTTTAATGGGCACAGGTGCATATGAAGGAATGCGGAAGTAATCAATGGTAAAGTTAGTGGGACTCAAATACAACAGCTCATAAGTCATCTTTTTTACAACAACCGCATGAGAGCATTATGAATACAGATTTATTAAAGGTAAAGCAAAAACTCTACCCTTTAATGTTTAACCACGTGCGGCGCACATTGATGTTCGGTGCACTACAGTACGGTGCAGTACTGAGAAGAGATCGGGTCCACAATTTTCAGAGTTAAATAGGTTTCGCTTTGGATAGCCATTATTCTTTCCTTGGGGTGTAGTCCTTAGTACTTACTCATTTTGTGAATAATGAATGGAAAACTGTCAGACATTAAAGCTAGCTGAATCTGCAGAGCCTTGAAACGTTATCTGCCATGGTTCAGAGGTGTTTGGGTGCGGTTATAATCTAGAAAGAGAATTGAGAATCCTTCAATGCTCTCGGAGTTCCATTAAGTCAAATTGAAGCAATCAAAATAGACATTCTTTGCCCTTGGTTAACCGATATAAAACACTTAAACTGTCAAGCGACATCTATTTACTGAAAAATTGAGAAAATTAGAAAAAAAAAGCACTACCTTAGTCTCCCCAACATAACCTCATCGATTGTGAGATTTTTCAGGCGCATTGGGTTTGGAGAGATAAAATGCCTAAAAAAGTCGTGGAAGATGATGGCATTATCTTTTCCGGTGTACTTTCTACATTACTTCTTCTCTTTCCGAGTGAAAAGTGACGCGGCAAAATGCACTTCAAACCATCGCTCTATTGGTTAGCGTTTTACATCACTCACCTCAAAATCCACCTCTTTTGCCTTTCATATCGAAACTCTTTAGAGAATGTGATTTCCTCGCTCTGTGCAGGACAGGTTATTTAAAAAAAAACAAAGGAGGCTTTTTAAATCCAGCACCTTTAGAAGAATTTAACAATTCCTGGCCCATCTTGCTCTTGCCATTTTATTTGGACGTGCTCACCGCTTTCTGCCGCTCAAACAGGGCTACTCGCTCAACCAATAGGAGCGCTGCGTCCGAGTCCAGCCCGGCGGTGATTCATGCGCAGGCTGCTGTAATGATCGTAGATAGTGGGCAGCTCGAGCTCAACAGAATGTGGAGACAACTTCCTTGTTGTTATATCAAAATCAACAACGAACTGCAAGCAAACTGTCAAGTCATGCAGTTGAAACTGCTGTAAATCGGCTATGGCATCGAAGGAAGGGAAAATTCGGTAGGCAAACGGCATGAAGTGGAAAATTGTCAGATGAGACGCACAACAAGTCGACAAACCTCTCACTATACGCTCCATAAATTGTTCTCGCCTTCCAGTGAATGGTTTCCCCATCATCAGACCCTCTAACTTCAATCCATTTCAATTTATTCACCTCTTTCCCATCGCTGAGCCATGATTGCGCTTAAGTGTCATCGACAATGGCAGTAGCGTTCCCGACTTACGATAACGGCAATTCCTCATGCACTTTATTTACTTCCTCCTTCCTACATCCCTTCGTTCAGTGCATTTCCTCTTTCGGGTGGCTTGTTAGGACGGCAAGGAAGGAGGCATGGTGGTGCAGGCGGATGCAAGTGGGCGTTCTTTGCCGCTGCAGCCATCACGTCCCCGAAGAAGCGTGTCGCACCGAATGGCGGGCAAGGCTCGACGATAGGAGGAGAGTGCCACTGATGGCTAGACTAGTGCTTTCAGTCCGTGCCTCTACCAGTCCATGCATGACGACGATGACGATGGCGTGGCACGAATCGAAAGACAGTTGTGTGTTTTGCACGAAGCTTATCCTATCCTTGCATGAGGGTTACAAGTTAGTCAGTCGGTTGGATGGTTTGGTTGAGCTTCTTTAGCAGCAGACATCATCCAAGTGATGAAACAATGTGCTTCTGTGTGATGTTTGAACTTTCATCACTGTCAACACAGTTAAAAGGGCAATTTTTGCTACCTTGGCAGGAAAATGCATGAAGAGTTTGTTTCTTCTTTCCGCTACTTTAATCATTCCACCCTATCTTCAAATTTTTTTTTTGGAAGGCGATTAAATTATCGTCGGTCGACAAAGTGTTTGCATGTGAAGGAACATCTGAGGAGTGTTATTATATCACTCCCTTCTTGAACGGCTTAATGCCTCTGTGGCGGAGATAACGCCACTCTAAGAGGCCCTAAGAAGTGGCTTATCCGTTCTGTTGCAGTGGGCGCACCGATTTTTCACGCTAGATCAGGCTTGACAATAGCCTTAGTACTGGGAGAGATTTGCTTCGCTTATACTTACACCTCCCTTCGAGGAAGAGGAAGCCTTCAATTGGTGGATTTACATATTACTACTGTAAACTGGACACTTGAAACTGAGCACGAGTGCAGTGATAGCGTTCAGCATTGATCACGCAAGGGAAGAAGGGCGGCTGAGACTTCAGAAGTGGACGCTGGCTCGCCTTCAGGCGTCGGGGTCTATTATGTGGACTCTGGACGCTAGATCTCATCATAACTTTTATGCGTTTAATAGCCGCAACAACAGACGGTTTCACCAACACATGCAAATGGCTTCAAGAGAGTTTCTGACCCATTTGTGCTCGTACATTCACTCTATAGACGAGGTTGTAGGCGACAGTCATCAAATTTATTCAGCGACCATGAACTTCGATACGGGCATGTTCACACCCCATCAAAGGTCCAAGAGGAAGATGCTGACGACATATTCAAGTCTCTCTTCGCTAATCTGGTCATCACCGGGACCAAGTAAAGCGATCTTTACGCTCAACTAGAACAAATTACGGATGATGAGAAGAAGGAATTGCTCTCCCTCCTGAAGAATTACCCACAAATGTTCTTCTGAGCAGAGAGTGGAACTGGGACGAACGAACATGAGTAAGCACGCCATCGATACTGGTGAGGCCTAAGTTGATGTGGCAGCCGTCTAGACGCACACCACTCTTCACCCTCCACGGACCGAGCCTTGAAAGTCGTCTCTTCAAAGAACTGTGCAAAACCTTGGGAATCTAAAAAAACGCATACAACGTCAGATCACCGCCAGGACAAGAGACAAGTAGAAAGGGCGGATAGTACACGTGGTTGCCTCCATAGTCAGAGATTTCTGCTTTAGAGGAACGCATTGACTCACTCTTGCACAAATGAAGGTGAACTGAAATGGAGGATGCATGTTTGGCACCTGAGATGGAGAAAAAGAGAGCTGTGGAAGGATCCTTTAATGCTTCTTCGGACTCTGCTTGATTCTATGCGCTTGACATCGACTCACCTTCAAAGTCAAATCCAACCTGAAAGCAATGATTAATGGGTGCTAGTGTTTTGGCCTTTAAAACATGTTGGTGGATACCTCTGACTTCAGGGTCTCCATCTCGGTGGCAGCACCAAAATTTTGCTTTCTCCAGAAACAATATTTGAAACTACTGAGTTGCTATGGCCCGCCGAAACAAATTCTTTCAGCCTGAACTGAAGTGAGAGGAGGAACTCGTCACCAAATCACTCTCCCGTGACTTTGAAGTAGCAAAGAAGGAGGAAGGGTTGACCCTAACCACGTTTCAAACAATAGGAGGAGCTAAAAATGTTATCACCTGCAGGTGTGACGTACAGGTGGTGCTATATCTATGCCGACTGGTATTGCTCCCATTGGATAGTCGGATGTAGTACCTTCTCACTACTTGGAGAGCTCGTGCCTCAAGTCATCCTCAAGCGATCTGAAGTCAGAAGTTGGCATGCAAAAATAAAACTTCAAGCCGTTAA